GTTTGTCTCTTAAGAAACTTCCTAGAAATAAATGATGAGATACAGACTTCATTCTACTAATGTACAATAGCAGATAATGAAGATGCTCAGAATGACTGAAAAATCTAAAATTAAAAAATATATTTAAGTTGGCACTACTATCCTCAGGCCTCTTGGGGTAAGTCTATAGCGCAGCTCTCTGCACCGGGACTCCCTAAGCCACATTCACCCTTCCATCCCTCCCGCCGTTCTATACTCCTAGTTTGGGCCCTGCTTCCTGATGCTTCTCAGCCAGACAAACTCAGTCCCTTTCTTGGGCCCCAGGAGCACCGCTTCTGGTCCTGGCCCCGCCCTCACCTCTCTCTGCTTCCCTGGGCCTGCACTACTGGCTAACTCTCCTAGCCTGCACTACTATCCTCAGACCTCTTGGGGTAAGTCTATAGCGCAGCTCTCCACACTGGGACTCCCTAAGCCACATTCACCCTTCCATCCCCCTCCCCCCTCGCCGTTCTATACTCCTAGTTTGAGCCCTGCGCCATTCCTAGTCTTGGGGCCCCAGACACCTGGGGAACCAATACTGCTTCCTGACCCTTCTCACCCAGACCAACTCAGAGCCTTTCTTGGGCCCCAGGAGCACCACTTCTGGTCCTGGCCCCGCCCTCACCTCTCTCTGTGTCCCTGGACCTGCACCACCGACTAACTCTCCTAGCCTGCACTCCTATCCTCAGGCCTCTTGGGGTAAGTCTATAGTGCAGCCCTCCGTGCCTTGACTCCCCAAGCCACATTCACCCTTCCATCTCCCCCACTGTTCGCTACTCCTAGTTTGGGACCTGCGCCATCCCTAGACTTGGGGCCCCAGACACCGGGGGAACCAATACTGCTTCCTGACCCTTCTCACCCAGACCAACTTAGTGCCTTTCTTGGGCCCCAGAGGCACCACTCCTGGTCCTGGCCCAGCCCTCACTTCTCTCTGGGTCCCTGGACCTGCACCACTGGCTAACTCTCCCAGCCTGCACTCCTATCCTCAGGCCCCTTGGGGTAAGTCTATAGCACAGCCCTCCACACCTAGACTCCCGAAGCCACATTCACCCTTCCATCTCCCCCGCTGTTCGCTACTCCCAGTTTGGGACCGATGCCATTCCTAGTCTTGGGGCTCCAGACACCAGGGGAACCAATACTGCTTCCTGATCCTTCTCACCCAGACCAACTCAGTCCCTTTCTTGGGCCCCAGAGGCACCACTCCTGGTCCTGGCCCAGCCCTCACTTCTCTCTGGGTCCCTGGACCTGCACCACTGGCTAACTCTCCCAGCCTGCACTCCTATCCTCAGGCCCCTTGGGGTAAGTCTATAGCACAGCCCTCCACACCTAGACTCCCGAAGCCACATTCACCCTTCCATCTCCCCCGCTGTTCGCTACTCCCAGTTTGGGACCGATGCCATTCCTAGTCTTGGGGCTCCAGACACCTGGGAACCAATACTGCTTCCTGACCCTTCTCACCCAGACCAACTTAGTGCCTTTCTTGGGCCCCAGGGGCACCGCTTCTGGACCTGGCCCCGCCCTCACCTCCCTCTCCTTCCCTGGTCCTGCAACCCCCGCCAGCCTCTTTCTGGGGCTGACAGCCTCTTTCTAGGGCTCCGAGGCTTACCTTTACTCCCCCCGACCCTTTGCATCCAGTACAACCCAGCTACTCAATCCACTCCCTGGGAAATCTTGGGGCTTCTTCCCACCCTATCTGCCTTTGCATCCCTGCCTGGAACGGCCACTGCCAGGGTCTCAGGTCAGTCCAACACCCAAGTTCCTGAGGCCAAAATCATTCTCAGAAGATTCCAGACCTAAGGAGAAAGTCTGAAAACTTCTGACCCACATTGGAATTGGGCCACCATGGAACTCCTGAAGACAAAATCAATCCAGCCACGACAATATAAAATCAAAAGAGAGAACTAGAAGCTT